TATATATATATATATATATACACACACACACACGAAGTATACTGTAGGACAAATAAACTAGAAGAAAATGACTAGCAGGTTTATTTTATTACTATAAAAAGAGTAGATACTCCCAATAACATGCACTTTGCCAGATTGCCCACTTGTATGGTTTGTTCTGTGGACTCACGTCATCCTTAATGAGGCCAGCCATGAAAGCTATCATCTATAAATTTGATGATTTCAAATGTATTTGCTTCTGCCATATACAACTTTCACAGAAAAGATTATAACTCACTCTTATGAAAAAAATAAGATAAAGTATACACAAAATAAATGATGAAAGTAATATTATATAGCATGTACCCTTGCCTTCATTAAAAATGCATTTAAGAAATGAATGAAATTACATAAACTGGAAAGATTAATAAAACCTGCAGATTAGCCACTTCCATGCCATGTAATGGAAGGGGTTAATGCCCCAGAGTGTCAGGCATGCATTTTAAACACAGGACAACCCCTTGATTGAAATGCGTTCTTCCATGTTTCCAGTCAGGCCCCGCCCCACCATCCGTGCTGATTCTTAATGAAGCGAAGGATCTATTCCCTTCACCTCAGCCGGACGGCTGGAGACCATACAGTGCTGCCTTATTGCGGCCAAAGACAGGCGAAATACTGCTTAAATAGCAGTACTGAGCCTTAGTCAACCTCACCTCTGATACGGTTTAAGATCCTTTCGCCTGCCATTTGGCTGCCAGTACAGCTACCTTCGGTCCTTAGTGAATTACCCTGTAAAAATATTTAATTGTTAATAAATAGCTAAATAATGCTTAAATGTGGCACAAAACAGAAAACAAATACAAAGATTAACAGAAAGTATGCATAGTGTAATGTCTCAAAAGACCTTACACCCACAAGGTAGAGGGGCCTACTCTAAATGTAAGAGAGGATAGACAACAGAGACACTGTCAAGATATAGTAGCATAAACTTTTCAGTTACATCTGCAACTTTACTTGAAATAAGTCTACTATATAACTCACTAACTTGACAGATTCCTAAGTAAATGCTTTTGCAAAAAACCCTCTTCATAGAAATGTTCTAATTATTTGAATTTGTGTCCAATTATACACATTCCATGAGAAAATGAATGGATAATATTTTCTATAATAACAATTGATCCATCAGTTATTCTGCAGCAATGGTTAGGTTGTGAGGTTGTCATTTTCATACCGGTCACTTTTAAACATCTGTATTGTTCACCTGTATCTAAACAATTCAATACTGGACCCGATGTATGCAGTGAAGTGTAAGTGGCCTCAAAGCCCATGATGGCATACCATTTGCAAAAGTAGA